GTCGTCTTCTTCTCTACTCTCTCTCTCTCTCTCTCTCTCTCTCTCTCTCTCTCTCTTTCTTGAATCATGCATGCAAATGCACATATACACAACCACACACTCAAAGAAACATACAAAGAGCTGGTAAAAGTAGCAACATATAACAAACTTGATCAGTGTATAGAACAATAAAAACAAAACTAAACAGATAGGATCATGCAATCCCATACCTTAAAAAGAAGCCATGCTCGGCAGCAATCCCCAGTCCCTCACAGGGAGCAAACCACTCACTCAGAGTCCCCTTATCTCTTCCACTCACCAAAAACACCACATTCTTCGGATCTCTGCACAAACCATTCAGTATCTCAATGGTCTCAGCAGTTGGTGTCTTGCTAATGGAGGCCTGAGGCATCATGGTCCCATCATAATCCAAAAGAATAGCTCTACAATTTGTCCTCTTATATGAAGAAACTAGATGCTCCCCTGAGAGCTTCCTAAAGTTTGGATCAAGAGCTATAACTCTAAAGCCAAGCCCAAACCCAATCCCCCAAAACCTTCTTCTTATGTGGTCTCTACAACTTCTCTCTAAATCTTGCAAAAAGCTTTGGGACCAATACCCCACATCATGGGTACTCACATATCGATAGTGTTTCTCATGTCTAAGTTGCTTCTCTGGTTCAGCGAGCACTATTGCAGAGTCCATGGCCTCTGCGACTGCATCTATGTTCCATGGGTTCACTCTAATTGCTCCACTGAGAGAAGGGGAGCACCCAATAAACTCGGAAACAACCAGCATGCTCTTCTTGGGTAAATTAGAAAGACCGAGAGTCTCATCGAGCTTATCATTGCTCTCTCTACAAATTATGTACTCATAAGGGATCAGATTCATCCCATCCCTCACTGCAGTTACCAAACAACACTCTGCAATCACATAATATGCAATCCTTTCATAGAATTGAAGTGGGTTTTCAATCAAAATCACAGGCTTGTAACCTGGTCTTCCAAACATTTCATTGATTCTCTTAGCTGTGGTATAGGTCTCAGATTGAACCTCTTGGACATCTTTTCCTCTCCCTCTAGCAGGGTTTGCTATTTGAACCAAAACCACCTTCTCTCTAAGCTCAGGGTGTTGCAAAAGAAGTTGCTCCATGGCCAAAAGCTTCAAGCTTATGCCTTTGAATATGTCCATGTCATCAACCCCAAGCATTACAATCTGGTTCTTGAACTGATCCATGAGCTCTGCAACTTTGTGCTCCGTTTCGGGCAAGTTCAAAACGGAACGAAGCTGCCCGATATGGATCCCAACTGGTAATATTTTAATACTTACTGTTCTTCCAAAGTATTCTAAGCCAATATAGCCTCTCTTTGATTCATATCCAATCCCAAGCATTCTACTACAGCAAGAGAGAAAATGTCTCGCATAATCAAAGGTGTGGAACCCAATAAGATCGGAGTTTAGGAGAGCTTTTAGGATATCATCTCTAACAGGTAGAGTTCGATAGATTTCAGAAGAAGGGAACGGACTATGCAGAAAAAACCCAAGTTTAATTCGATTAAATCTCTTTCTCAAGAAGGTGGGGAGAACCATTAAATGATAATCATGGACCCAAACATAGTCATCTTCTGGATTTATAACTTCTCGAACTTTGTCTGCAAAAATTTTATTTACAGAGACATAGGCTTGCCATAGCGATCGATCAAATCGACCGCCAAGATCAGGAGAGAGAGGTAACATGTAGTGAAAAAGGGGCCATAGCTGTTGTTTACAAAATCCATGGTAGAATTTGGTAAAGAGTTCAGGAGAGAGAAACGTGGGCACACATTTGAATCTCTCTAACAAGATTTGAGAGACTTCATCTTGCTCAGATGGGTCAATCTCTTCTTTGAGGCACCCTATGTACATAAATTCCTTCTCTTCTCCAAGGCCATCCCTTAATTGAAGGAGGAGAGAGTCTTCATCCCAACTGAAATCCCAACTACTCTGGTTCGGTCTCCTATGAGCTCGAAGGGGAAGTTGGTTTCCTACGATGATGATTCTTTCTTGACAGATGGAAGAGGGGCCCTCAGAGCCCACACTGTTTGAGCCTTCATCATCTATTTCAGAGAGAAGTCCAGCTACTGTCATAACTCTCGGAAGCCTCTTTCCAACTCGATTGAAGCTAGGAGAATTGCCTGATGTGAGGTCTAGGAGGTTCGAATACGATCTAGATGCCATAGTGAATTCCCAGAGCTCTCTCTCTCTCTCTCTCTCTCTCTCTCTCTCACACACACACACACAGACACACACAGAGTGGTGGGTACAAAATTTGGGTGCTCAGCAGGAGCACTCTCTGTGCTTTAGTGTCACTGGAAGAGCAAAAAGGTAAGTAGTTAGAAAGATATCAATCCGAATAAATAATTCAAAAAAAATCAAAAAGAAAGATCGGTAAATACTTGATTTTGTTCTTACAAATTATTGAACACCGTAAAATTCCATGTTCTCTAACTATTGTAAGTGTTGATTAAAAGAAGGTCATCACTTTGAACTTTGGGAAAGCCCAAGACCGCACAGAGATCAAATCTCCAAACCAGTATTGGTGTTTGACTCAATGAAGGTGTTTCCAGGTGAGCTGAAAAGCCCCATCTCATTCAAGAAGTAACTGATAAATTATTCAATACAAAAACATGTGTTTTGTTTTTCTTCTAGTAAAAAGATTGAGACAACAGAATTACTGGAAAACTACCCCCAACTCAGTTTTTTTTCTTTTTTGGGCAAAGATCACAAAAACGACCTCCACACCAACAAACACCAATACGGATTATCATGTTCTGAATCTATTCACGAATAATAGACTAACATGAATTAATGTAGAGAGAAAAAAAAAAAAGGAAACCATATCCCAGACGCCCCAATTTCCATTTCTCCTTTCTACTGCAATTCTTTTGAGCTCTGAAGATTTCCAAATAAAATTTCAGGAAATCTTAAATGCAACAACCGATTCCATTAAAAGAAGAATAATAGAAGTACAAAACTAAAATCATAACAGTACTATGCATATAGGGTTTACAAGGGTTTAGAAAGAGAGAGAGAGAGAGATTCATACCTTCACAACTTCCCAGTACCATCAAAATGGAACACAAACACCATTGCAACTGAAGAAAAAAAAAAGAAAAAATAAGCACTGTTTCAGCTTACAGTTTCCATGTTTACAAGAACAGCTGCTGGAAAGAAACAAGGGAAAAAGTCTCTTTTTTCACTCCCATGTACTAGAATTCAGGAAATCAAACAAGGTAGCTCCCCATGTACATGGAGCTATAAACAATATGCTGACTGTGAAAAAATGTTCATTTTAATCTAGAGGGTTCATTATTTAGAAGAAAATCACCTCAAATAGCGGGAGAAATCACAATAATTTTCTCCTGAAACTTATGCAAGCTTCACCAAAGCAAAGGAAAGGCCCTCTTTTGGCATCATAGAGACCTTGGAACCCTTGAAAAGGAAAGTTTCCCTTTCATAGAGAGAGAGAGAACAGTATCAGTAACACTGATGAGAGAGAGAGCAGTAACACTAATGACACTGATACTGACTAACCATGGTTGGCAGGAGGGCTATATCAACTTTCAGGCGAAATTTCGGTTAAAGTATCGGTATTTCTGTGTCCCTTTTAGTGTGGACCGAAAGTAGGTTACGAAATTTCGGTCGCTTTATTAAGGTTTTTCAGAGAATTTAGGCAGTTAAAGGTGGTAGTTTTACAAGTTACCGAAAATTTCACGAAAGCATGACGAAATCTTAAAACTGCTAACCCGAGTTTAGCGAATATGTAACTAATGGCTCCACCACTGCCATCCCAAAGAACGTAGACACGTGTCGATATATGGTTCGATGAATGTGTAGCAATAATATAGAGGGGAAGCGCTTTTGCCTTAAAATAAGCCTGGGTATCCCAAGTCCCAACTGCCACTTTATTGTACGGAATTATCGAGAATGCCCTTTCGTAAAAAGCTAAAAATATTTAAAGAGTATTCGGAACACCAAAATATATCTTTTTTTTATTTTGGGTGGTTTTTTTTTTTATTCCAGTCCTTATCGGTCTACAACGGTCAATCATGTAAAATTGGCTGCTCTCTTTCAAAGTTTTCATATTATTATTATAATTGATGGAGATTATGTGAATATTATCAAGTGGTGTAGAAAAGAGCAAATGATCCTCTAATCCCTATTTACTTTTTGGTTAAAAATTCAAGACTTATGTGCTCGGTTTAATTTGAAGATAAGCTTCGGACACACCATGCGCAAAGCCAATGATGTTGATGATCGATCGGCTAACTAAATTTGGTGTTTCCCTTCTCTTTTTGCAAGTTTCTAACTATTTGATCCAATCCTTGCTGCTATTTTATATGATAAACCCCAAATCAATAAGGGTTTTATTTTTTTTCCATGATTGTTTGGCTGATAAACCTCAAAACAATAATTTCTTTTAATTGTCAATGAGTTCTTAAGAACTGCAATAGCTTTATTTTGTGATTTTTATGTGTTGTAAATCTAGATTCATAGTTAACTGATTATTTTGAGTTTCTATTATTTGATGGCCCAAATGTAGATCAACAATCACAAATATGTGGCGATATGGAATGATTAGCTTTCAATATTCTTCAATATTAATGTGCCATGGGGATGGACTTGATGACAATGTTCTTCAATTCTTATATAAATATTGGTATTTTTTTAATCTATTTACATTTTTGATAATATGTTAGATGAATGGAAGGATCCTTATTTAATTACATTTTTTTTTTCAATATGATAGTTGTTTTATCCCAATTTCAATTCTTGTCAGTACGATAGTTGTTGCCTAGAAGTTGAAAATATAAGATTGTGGCTAAGGGCATATACATGACACTTGAACATTGCCAATCGACTCCAATCGACTTGACCATTGGACGAGTATTATTGATCAGGTCATAGTATATGTATTTGTTGCTGTAGGTAATGTTTTATGAATTTATGCAAATAGAATGTATAATGTTGTAGTTTTTTCTTTTCATTTACAACATATGAAGGGTAATTGGGATGATTTTTTAGTTGAGTCACTTGTAACTCATTAGGGTTCTCATCAAGTCCAAGTCAATTTTTGAGTTTCGAACCCTATTAGATTGTTCAATTTCTTACTAGGACAATGAGAGGCTTCATGTTCAGCTCTATATAATCTAATGATAGATTTGTCGTCTTATGAAGCTTAAGGTGTTTTTTTCTTGTTATCGTTTTTTTACCTAATAATTTGGCATGCAGTTCAACATTTATTTATCAGATTGTTAATATTGGAAATATTGCAAGCAAAAAGTTGAAATGTCTTAAATTCTAGTTTGGGTGAACACAACATTTACTCATTTCTTTCAATTGCCCACTGGAGGTTGTTTATGAAGTATGTTCCTATTTCCATGGCATCTGTTGTATTTTTTTTTCATGTCATGATACAATTGTTGGTCACATTTGGTTATTACTTAGCCAAGGACTTATGTATGGGATGCAATGATGTTCGTTTAGTCACTCCTTTGTTCCTCTCTTTCTCTCTCATTATCTTTTTGTTCAAGCGATTTCTTTCGTGTTATTATTTCAAAAAATACGTACTTATCTTTTTTGTAATGGACTAGTGTGGTGGCAATATTGAATGGTTAGATTTCAAACTTTTAAATATCTATTTCTCAAATAAATGATATATGTTTGCACCCCCGTTTTTCAGCTTGAAGAATTATTCAAAGAAAAAATGGGCAAAGGACTTTTATACATTGGATATATTTAAATTGCCTTATGCCCAAATGTCACTGATACTTGAATTTTCATGTAACATATGGGTGTAGAGAGAGAGAGCATTATATGAAGATGGACTTCATGACAATATTTTTCAATATTTATGTGAATATAGGTATTTTTTTGAAACTATTTGCATTTTTGGTAATATGTTGGATGAATGGAATGAGCCTTATTTAATTATAAAATATTTTTAAAAAACTGCATTGCGCACGTCATATCAATGAAATATATAATGAACAGTATTGCAGGTAGTTTCCAGCTTTCTCATTGCCAAACAGGTGAAATTACCAGCACCATAGTTTATCAAACAGGGTTTCCAGCTTTAACCTTATCAATTTTCACCTGCGATTTCAGAATTCAAGAAGTCGGTTTATCAAACAGGGTTTCCAACTTTCACCCTACCATTTTTCGCCTGCGATTCCAGAATCCAGGAAGTCAGCAGCAGGGATGATTCTCAAGACACTGCAGTGAAAGTTTATCAAACGCCACCTAAGTATTGGCCAAACAAAACCTTCAGAAAAGGATGAAGTTTTTATAAGACCTAGGATTTATGGATACAAAATAAAGCCTCATCTCAAATCCTCGTATGGAAAGTATTTTTGGCAACGAAAATATCTATGATGGCTCTAAAATCAATTTCCAACAATGACAATAAAATTTGAAACTTAAAAAGGGTACAAATCTTACCGATCTAGAAACACTTATTTTTAGGACAAAATGAACAGTCTAGATAATTTGTTACAATATACACTATTTATAGAGCTTGAAATCCTAATTTTTTTCACAACTATATTGTTTAAGCCGAGATGATCAATGTAAAGGTTTTCCAATACTTGAATTTTCGAGGAGTGATAAGATAAAACTTTACTTATTTTGATAGTGTTGCAGCCCTATCAAATCATTTTCCTTAGAAAACAAAAGCAAGTGTTCAAAAACCATCAATCCGAATTAAGGATTCACCAATCTGGACCCATTTCTTAGACATCCACACCCTAATGATCTAGTTTTTAAAACACTGATAGAAAACCCTCATTGGTGGTAGATTGACTCATCTATTCGACTTTTATCATCATCATTTGAGCCGTATTCCAACTATTATCATCATGCATCAGATTTTCTATAAATGATTGTTTTACCGCTAGTAGTAGATTGAGCTATATTTGGTTTACTTATTTGTGGCCTAGTTTTCATGAGTCTAACTCTAACTCTAATGATCTTACCAATTTAAGCGGATTGAGAATCAGTTAGGTGAATTCTTGATATCTATCTCAATTTGGAATTCAGAAGCTTTTCTTTCTTACTAGTAAGCCACTTCTCAATCTTATGTACCATACTAGTTTAAGGGATTTTTGAGTTTCATAATTTTTGAAAGAAAAGAAATTTGGTTTTTTCACTAAAAAGTCTAAGAATATCTCTTGATTTCTTTAATTTTTATTTTTCTATTTTCAGATTAGCCGTAGGATTCAAGTTAGACGTAGTTTTGCTGAAGTCAATAACAAACCAATCCAGCCCAAGTCCAATTGCTATCTTCTCTAATTTTTTTAGTGATGTGATTTTTTGCTAGGGTCTTTGGGTGCTCCATTTGTAACCCTAATAATTAGTTGACTAACTGTTGGAAAGGTGTTGTAAATAACGGTCCTAGCATCCTAGAGAAGGTAAATTTGGAAACGGCAAGCTATCATGTTGGTAACCTTTTCGAAAAAGTTTATATAAGGTTGAGGTTCTAAATAATCAAACTAAGGTGCAGTTCAAAAATTCATTAAAAGAAGTTGTTTCGATGCCGAAAAATTTTCAAATCCGATCATCTTGATCTTGAGATACATGGGCATAAAAAAAATGAACTTCAAGTCTTGGAAACAGTGCATCTTATAATGCATTATCTAGACCATCAAATTTTTAAGATTTCTAAATGTTCATAGATATGCTTGATCTACACTCTTTTTTTGAGCTTTAAATTTTATGATTAATGATGAAAATAAATTTTCAGAACATTGTAAAGGTTTTCAGTATTGAAAAGACATCTTTCGACACTATTTAAAAGTGTGCCGTACTTTGATTGTTAAGGCTCTCGACCTTAAATATATAAACCACACCCTTGATTTTCACAAGATACATGTGCTAACTTCATCGGCAAGGAATAAGTAGTAGGGGCTTCTGGGTCATTAGCCCATTAGAGGAACAAAAGGTGGCCTCTTGGCTTTGTCTTTTCGTATTTTAGGTAATTCAGTGGGGATGACAAGCTCCCACTCATTTTTTCAAATCGTTAGTAGTTTTTTAATGCGTCAGATGATAATAGAGACCTAGATTTTAGCTGAGGCTTCAGTGGCTTAACATGTAAAAAAAAAACCCATTCTCCATTGGGCAAACATCTTCTTTAAGGGCAAACACTTTATATCTAGGCCTTCCTCTTAGTCTTCTCCATCTATACTCTTTTATATAAGAAAAAGCATCCGGTCCACATGATGGAAGGGTGCACAACCACGAGATCTCATATGGCTATATCTAATAACTGAAACCTAGTCTCATATTTTATTTTTATTTAGATAATATGCCTATCTAAATTTTGGAGTGTGGGTGTATATTTATAAATATAACTAAATAAAAAAGATTAAAAAATATTTCAAATAAAAAATAACTAAAATACCCTTAAATTTATTTTGATCAATATTTTTTATTCAGATTTTTTTACTATTTTTATTCAATATTACTTATAAAAATAAACCTAAAACCAAAATTTTAAATTAATATTAT